ATTAAGGTAGAATTAGCTTGATTAATTGCTGTGATGTTTATATGAAAATCTCGTGTGTGTGAGTTGTGGTTTGCCAAAGCCATGCTCTCCATGTGTTGCCCATGAGAAATGGGGAAATTTTGGTAGCTTAAGCTATGTTTTTAAGCTTGGTTTAAGTGTAAATTAGCTTGAATTGGGTTGTTGTGATTTTGGAGAAAAATCTCGTGAGATTAATTATTGTTTTGCCAATTTTTGGAAGATACAGTTACTGTTCATGGATACTGTTCACGGGACTGTTCACACATTGATGGCCAACAATTAACGGGGATTTAAATGTTTAGTTTGTAATATAAGAACAAATTTGGAGATGTCCGGTCATGTGGAGACCGATAGAAATAGCATTGTGATTAGGGGTAGTCCCAATTATGATTTCATTTTGAATTTGTGGTAGTGTGGTATTAACTTTGGAATATTGTGATTAGGTTTTGATCGTTTTGTCACCATAGCACTTGGGTTAAGCATTTTGTTCTATGCGAGTAAGGTAAGTAAATTATGGTAAAGCCTTTCAATTTTAAAGCATATTTTAAATTGTTTTTGAGATGGTGGCAAGTTTTAAATTGATTTTATCAGCATCTGAGTGTGATTAAACTGAAATGAAAATTGTGATGATTTTTATGAAAATTATTATTTTCTGGAATTGAGCATGATTGGAATGAAAATAAAAATTTCATTGTTTTTCTCGAGTTGAGCATGCCCATATGAAATTTTTCGATTTATTCTTGAAATTGAGATTAATAATGAATTATGGATTTTCTGTAAATTCTGCATGGTTTTGTCTCTGATATAGTCATGATTACTAACGCCCGCTAGTGGGAGTTTGCAAACGCTAGCACATGTCGACATGTATTTCTGTAGAACCGGTTCATCCTGCCAATGGGGTTAAACATTGGTTATTACTGACGTTTGCCAGTGGGAGTTGTTAAACACTGGTACCATTACTGATGCCTGCCAGCGGGAGTTTGTTAAACAGTAGTACTTCTGTAACCCTGCCAATGGGGTTAAACATTGGTTGTTACTGACGCCTGCCAGTGGGAGTTGTTAAACACTGGTACCACTACTAACGCCTACCAGTGGGAGTTTATTAAACACTGGCCATGACTTATAGATGAGACCACTGACGAATTTTATTATGCATAAACGGTTTGTCATTGAACGCTTTGCTATTGAACTGAATCTGATTTTGCATAAACAGTTTGTCATTGAACGCTTTGCTATTAAACTGAATTTGATTCTGCATTAACGGTTTATTATTAAATGTTTTGTTATGTTAAACTGTTTATCAGGCATGTTAAAATTTGACCAAGGGCTATCCATATTTTACTTACTGGGATATTTTATCTCATAGTTTTTCCTTATCCACCATTTTAGAAAGCGAAACCGAGAACGGGGAAACCAAGGGGAGTGACAATGTAGAAGGCTAGCCATTTTAATTGGATATAAGTTTTAGATTTTATCATCTTTCTGTAAGATAGATTTTATTCTTGAGATGTTGTGATTTGAATAAGTTTTGAGCCTTGTGCACTTATGGGACCCATTTCACGAGTGCACAACATTTGCCACGTCCCTAGATTTGGGTTTTGGGGCATGACATAATTAAAGAAAATGAAAGTAAAAAAGAGATGATAAAGAAAGGAATTAACAATATTAGTTTTGGGGAAAAGATTCTAAAGAATGTGAATCAAACTTGAAAAAAAAAAAAATAAACCAAAGAAGAGGATTGATGAACAAGTAGAAGAAAAAGAAAGATGAAGACATCAAGATATAATGAAAATTCAAAGAAAATTGCTAAAAATTTGAGGAATAAAGGGCAAAGGAAGATGTTGAAGT